ATACCTCATTCTTGATCATTTAGATCCACGTCCCTTTCTTCAAATATTTTTGAAATTGTGGGATTTGTTTTAACTCCTTAGTAACAGAGAAGCTGAAAGTATATCATTTTCATTGCTCTTTTTTTTTTTTTTTTTTTTTTTGAGTTGGAGTCTCACTCTGTCACCCAGACTGGAGTGCAGCGGCCGCTCCCAGCCACCGCAGCCTCAACCTGCTGGGCTCTGGCGATCCTTCTACCTCAGCCTTCCAAGTAGCCGAATTACAGGTGCGCGCTACCACACCCAGCTAATTTTTTGATTTATTGTAGAGATGAGGTCTCGCCTGCCCAGGCGGGTCTCGAACCTGCGGGCTCAGGCAATTCACTCACCTCAGCCTCCCAAAGGCGCGGGATTACAGGCTGAGCCACCGAGCCCGGCTTTCATTGCTCTTAAGAAAGAAGTTTTTCAGGGATGCTAATGAGTTCTTAGGACAAAATGCATGTGCTGACAGAGGGCAGATAGGTTGTCATTATGCTGCACTGGTATGGAATACAGGATGAAGACTTAGGGTTAAAGATGAAGGAAGAGTTTCTAAATATGAAAGCTATGAAGAGAGAACTATTTCAAATGCATGGGGTTTTGTTTTAAGAGAGACGTTTAAGGTACTATTCCTTAGGTGATGAAATGGGAGAGGATACTAGAAAAGGTAGTTTTATTCTTTAAGAACAGTCTAACCATTAAAAAAACTTCTCTGATTTTATTACCTGAAGTAGTATTATTAAAACTTTCCATGTAATATGAGAAATGGTTTACATCAACTTTCTGAAGTGATTGGAGGTTAATAAAACCTGAAGAGCTTGTTCATTCAAATAAACCCAATGTTCTCAATTCCTACAAAGTGTCTGAGTTCAGTTCTAAAACCAACCTGTAGTTGAATGAAATACAGCCTTTACCCAGAGAAGACCATGGGCCACCAATGGATCTTCATTTCTGCCCTATAATCACTCTCCATGGTCTTCACATTCTCATACATTTCTGATCCTGGACTTCATGGTCTTCTGTCAGCCAAGTCTCCAGAAGTCTAGTTCTCACATACTTTGGAACTGCTCTGAGAAACCTATTCTCCATCCTGGAACCTTGCACAATGTTCTCCACTGCCTCCAGAACTAATGCACTCGATAGCATGAACCATCTGACTGACTCAACCTTCTTCATTAAATGACTATCCAGGAGCCACTTCCTCTACTAAATTATCCTCACAGAGTTCAGTCTAACTTCTATTCTGTATACTCCTTCTGCCCATTTTATACAAGTATGAGTGTACTGACATAAACTTAGGCACCCCTTAAAAATGTGAATTATTTTCGGATGGACTTCCCAAATAAAAACCTCTCATGTCAATGAGAACTCCTACTGGGATAATGAAGAAATATGTGGCACATTAGTGAAGAATGAATGATTAATACCACTTTCTTTTTGGTTTGTTTGTTTGTTTTTTTAGTTGGAGTCTCACACTTGTCGCCCAGGCTGGAGTACAGTGGCACACTCACGGCCATCACAGCCTCGACCTGCTGGGCTTAGGTGATCCATTTTATTTCTTAGTGCTAATAGTCAACAAACAGACATAAAGCAGTTTTTTTGGCCTAAGAATTTGACTCTGGAGTCAAAAGATTTAGTTACTGATCCCTAATCTATTACTTACCACTGTAAGTGATAAACCTCAGTTGTTTCATCTGTTACATGAAAGTAATAAATAATATCTAAATACTGGATTATTTTGATGATTAAATGGATAATCCATATAAAGTACCTTTTGAAAAAAGGGTATGGCATATTTCAAGCATTCAATAAATGTTTGTTGTTGTTCTTATTAACATTTATTTACAGGAAAAATAAAGCCAGTCATTTCAGTTATTTTCTAAGGTTTGATTTTATCTCATATAATAGAGGTCACCAAGCCATGAAAGTGTCAGTTTGGTTTGCGTTTAAACTTGTGCCTCTCCTTCAGAAGTTCTGAAATTGTATCTTGAGCTTGACAGCCTAAAAAAATAATTATTGTTTCTTATAATATGGTCCCCAAATAATTGGACTTGCCAATACTCTTCCTTCATTTCTGCCCATGCAAGTGTAAAGTCACCCATTAGCTTCTAGGGATCAAATCCAAGGGCTACCACAATTCCTATCCCGTTTGATCTTCTGTGTTAGATGCTGTGGACCTTCCTTCCTCCTCTTCCTTTGGCTTTCAGAACACATGCCGGGTTGGTTTTCTTCCTGTGTGGGAGAGCTCAATATTTCTGAGTCCCTTGTGAGTACCCTTCCTTTTTCTTCAAATGGTGCTAATTCCCTAGATCTCTTCATTTTCACTTCACTCTCTGGGTAATGCCACTCTCTTCCAGGGTTTCTCCAAGCCGATGATTCTGCATCTACCTTTTTTGCCACTGCCTGAGTCTGAACCCTCATCATTTCCCACCTGATCTATGAAAAATGCCTCCCAAATGGTCCGCTGGCTGCAATCTTGTCCCCTCTTTAAAATGTATCCTTTACACAGCAATTCAAATGACATTCCTAAAATATAAATCTGACTTTGTCATCTTCGAGCTAAAATACTTTAATGATTTCCTTTACTTTGTTAGATAAGACCCTTAAATGTTTAAGTGACCTATCCCTTCTGTACCTTAATCTAAGCAGCAACATTAAGAAAGCACCTTACCAGTTTCTTTTGTTCTGCTTATACCCAACTTATATTAAGAACATTGTTCTAAATGTTTTCTCAGGACTGCTCTGTTATTCAGATTGCTTTCCATTATAAATTGTTGGTTGTGCTCTTGAAATCAATCAAAAGAGATTCTCAACTCCAGTAAATGAAAATCACCCGATCACTTAGGTTCACTTTTTTTTTTTTTTTTTAGAACAAGGCTATTTTATACAATACATATACACACATTATATATTGTTCCTTTTTTAACGGGATAATTAAAAATCTAAGAAAAATGGTAGATTTATGCATGATCGTGAAAGCATATGACATAAATACACTAAAATATACTTAAAATCAGTTGTACAAAGAAAATGAGGTAATAATAAAAACTGGTTGTTCTATAAATTGGCAGAATTGCCCAAGAGTTTGAAATTTGGATTCACTGTAAATTTCAGATCCTCATATTACAGAACTGCTAAAATCAATCTTTGAAATAAACCAAGAAACATTTGTTGCAAGTTCATATGTCTCCAAAATCCCTTGGTCAATGGATAGAAACAATGTATAGGGATGTATCGAAATTCAAGGGAAAATGCTAAAGCAAGAATGGGTAATGGCAAGACCAGCCAGCTCAGGAGCTAAAATACTGAATTCTGTCTTGACTAGAGCCCTATGGTAAGACTGAGTCAAATATTTAACCTTTCAAGGTGCCTCATCTTCAGATGAAGGACTTTAATTATATAGATCTCTTAGGCTCTTGTCAGCTTTGAAATATGAATATTTAGCTTTGCACACTCATAGAACAGAAAAGACATTCCAGAACATACTTTGAGAAGGATCAAGTACCCTGTATCTACCAAGTCACTCACAAACAGTTTAAAGATCACTTGAATGTCCAGACTTGATGGAACTTCTCAATCCACACTCTTTTTTTTTTTTTTTTTGAGTTGGAATCTCACTCTGTCACCCAGACTGGAGTGCAGTGGCTGCTGCCAGCCACCGCAGCCTCGACCTGCTGGGCTCCGGCGATCCTTCTGCCTCGGCCTTCCAAGTAGCCGGAATTACAGGCATGTGCTACCACGCCAGGCTGATTTTTTGATTTATTGTAGAGATGAGGTCTCGCTGCCCATGTGGGTCTCGAACCCGCGGGCTCAGGCAATCCACTCACCTTAGCCTGCCAAAGGAGCGGGATTACAGGCTGAGCCACCGAGCCCGGCTTCAATCCACACTCTTACAAGCCACCACTTTTGGGTGCTAAAATCTTTAGCTTCCTCACTGACTTAACCATGCTGGGTATTTTCATATAACACAGCCCAAGTTGTTCTAGATTCAACTCAACAAAATTTTAGCAGAGCATTTAACACAAGATTCCCTTGTTATAGGTACAAGTAAAGACACCTCCTGACACCACTTCAGCCTTTGGTTGATACACACTAAACGCTTCATAGCAGAAGGGCTGGAGGTGTGTTTTTAGCATCAGTTTCTTGTGTTAGGGTTATTAAAGCTGTATCCAGTAAAAATCAAGGGTAGAGTTAACTGTATCAGACAACATAAAATATTTACATTATCATAGTCATAGCAGTTGAAGATTTTCCTGCAGTGGTGCTTTAATGTACTGGCTAGGATTATTATTGAATTGGGTTGGCTCGGCCATTTTGAACCACATTTTGCTTTATGATGAGCTGTAAGCTAGAGTCTGTATAGTTTTACTTAGGGAGGGCTCAGTAGCATAACCATTAAAATATGATGAGAAAAAAAAGTCTGCATCCTGAGTGTATCGAACTAAAAAGCCATACCAGTGTTAAAAACAAAACAAAACAAAAACAAAAACAAAACCTTGATACTTGGACATGTCTGTTTCAGGATGCTCTCTTGTGAACTTTCCTTCAGAAAGAAAACCCAGACATATAGTTACTATCATCCTCCTGTCAAATACAGGTAGGGCCCTTCAAAGAAGATAGAAAAAGAACACATAATGAACACAGAATAATGAGCATATCTGCATTATTCAAGCTAAAAAAAAAAAGAAAAAGAAGAAGAAGACAATGTGCTTCACATAAGTCATAACTCAGGCCAAGGGATCCACATTCCCTGAGTCAGGAGTCCAAAACTCACAGAGGAAATTCAGCCATCCTCCAGTTTACTTTGATCTGAAGCCTTGAGTTTGTCAGAAGCCTTGGAAGTAAATCAGAAAAATGTGTGAAGATGCGAAATACTGAAAAAATAGACAATTCTCCCAGGCAGCGTGAGTTCAGCAAGTGTGAGATTCCTCCCACACATCACGACCCCACAGCCACCTGGAACTCCAGCTCCAAATGTCACTTACCCTATGACAACACAGGAGATGGCAGTTCCCAAGAAGGCATATGTTAAAATAGATCCCAAGTTTTGAAAAAAGTGTCTCTGGGGAAGAAAAAAAAATGAATAGAGTACATTAGTATTTTTTCTAGGTGCAACAGAAACAAAAATACACGTAAGCATTTCAAGGGCCCTGCCTGCTCTCACTGTTTAGGCAAATTTTGTTTTTGGAGTCTCATTTCTGGCCTCACTGAACTGATAGAGACTTAACTAATTTATTGTAAAGGTCGAAGGAAAGAGGCAAAAAAAAAAAAAAAAAAAAGAGGAAAAAGCTAGCTAAGGATGAGAGAAGTAACTGCCAGAACTGACTGGACCAGAACAGGAGGGGAGGGATTAGGGAAATGTCTGTGCAAAATTCGTCAATTAACAGAAGACACAGTTCTCAAGAAGTCCTATTGTAATTGCAGCTCCTTTAACATTAAAGAAATACTATTCTAAGAGATTTAAGTTGCCTTTTGACTTTTATTGAATCTCTGACTTCTCTGACTTCTGAATATGATTAAACCAAACTTTAAAAATCTACAACAATTCACTTTATTTTAATGAATCAGACACAAAATTATGCCTAGTAGTGGGGTTGAGAATAAGGAGGATGACCTAAATAAATCAATCCTTCTAAATCTCTTCAAATGCTTGCTTTAAAAAAAAAACACAAAAACTCCCCTTCTGGTTCTTTCACTGGGATCTGAGTAGCCAGAACTGACAGCAAGAGGGAGCCTGGAGTACACAAGTAAATCAGGGCCTGTGCAAAGCCAGCTGCCTGGCTGTGGAGATGAACTATCCAGGGAGGGGAGCCCCAGGAATCTTCTGGGCTGGGAGCTGGCACCAAAGAAGCAGCACCTTACCTCTACATCTCAAAAACAATACAGGTCAGAGCCTTGCTTTCTGGTCCCAAATGCCAACACTATGTCAATTACCAATTCATGAAATGTGCATAGTCACTCTGTGTATTGTCAGACAAGTACACAGAAACTGCAAAACTGGGCTTTCTTTCTAAGGGCATCAACAACATTCTTGAGTTTTCACTTTGATGGATAGACCCAGTGTTAGCAAGTGAACTCTTTGGTTACAATCATCTAGAAAATATTGTCCAATAGAAATATGTTGCAAACCACATATACCATTTTAAAATTTTCATAGCCTAACCTTTATTAAGAGGGTGAAATATGTTTTGGTAATGTTTTGTCTAACCCAATATTTCCAAGATACTGTCATTTCTATATGATATCAACATAAAACATTATTGAGATATTTTGCATTATTTTCTTAAATACAAAATCTTTAAAATCCAGTGTGTATTTTATATTTAAAGTTCATCTCATTCAGACAAACCACATTTCAAGGGCTCAATAGCTGTATGTAGCTAACAGCCTGATATGGGAAAATTCTAGGCATGTAAGGTTTGAATCTGTATCACATAATCAAAGGTAACATTTTGCCATATAGATTAGCCCATAAAAATAATGTTTTCATTAGTGCTGGTAAAATTCTTTCCTTAATGATAAAAGAAGAAAATGATCACTATATATTTACCTTCTTTAGACTATATCCTGCATGAAATATAATCGGTGGCAGTAAAACATTGAAGAAGATTTCTGGATCAAATGTCATCTACCAGAAAAGACAAATGTAAAGTTAGAAAGATGTTCCTTTGGGATATTAAAAAATGTTTTAAAAAGCAATTATGGTTATTTTTACTACATTTACATGCAGCATATTAACACAGTATTAAATGAGCAGAGATGAAAACAGGAAAATACACAAATGTAGAAATTCACACAGTATAACTGTACAGTAATTTTAAATTGGACAATCTATATACTTCTATTCCATAGCTAACAACAACAACAAAAACTCAATGAAATCTCTCTGGGTAAAAACCATTTAGTTCTATTTTTATTACTTATCATGCCTCATATTTTAAATGTTTTGTATTATATATATTTTTCTGATCAAATGAATTGGTAGTGCTAAATCATTTTGGCTTCTGACAGGATTTATTTAAAGTTTTCCCCATACAAAACATTTTTGAGAATTTGGTCTTCACTTTCCTTATTTTAACCCATTCCAAAGTTTAAACTATTTCCCAGACTCCATGGAAAAACACATTTAAAAAATGGATTTTTCCAGTATTTGTCCAGTATTGGTTTCTACTTAAATGTTAAGATAAATTTGGCCATAAAACAAGTATGACTTGGTATGAAATGAAGTGTAGATAGTGGAATGATGTGTAGAGATCTAATATCTATCTGCAATTTTCTAAGTAATCTAAGAATAAAACTCATTTAATCTCTGAAACCTTCCTAGACTCACCCTCTTATCTCCCTACTTATTTTTATCCTTTATCTTCTTCCCTTCCTTTGTCTCTTTGTCTCTGTTTCTGACCCTTTCTCTCTCTCTCTCTCTCTCTCTCTCTTTCTCTCTCTCTGTCACACACACACACACACACACTCACTCACACACTGCCATTCATTATTTTATTACCACTAAAGGCTGCTCACCATTAAAGTACTCATCACAATTTCTACATGTGTGGGTTTCACAATTATAATTTACAATTATCTTCCTCTTTTATGCCTGAATCCTTACTCGTCTCAAAAGTTACTTCCCTACGAAATCTGACTGCTCGCCCAGTTCAAACTGAGCATTCTGTCTTCAGTGCTTCTGAACACTTTGGACTCTCTCTTGGTGTATCTGAGTTTCATAACACACTTTGTATGATGATTGATTTTTGTGTGACTGTTTCCACCATTAAACTGAGATCTTATCACGGATTCCAATGATGCCATAATCAATTCTGCATGTCCTCCATGTCTCTTAGCCCATGGTTCAATATATATGTGTACAATTGATAAGAAAAATTACTTTTAAGAATCAAATCTAACCGGGCTCGGTGGCTCAGCCTATAATCTCGCGCTTTGGGAGGCCGAGGTGAGTGAACTACCTGAGCCTGTGGGTTCGAGACCTCATCTCTACAATAAATCAAAAAATCAGCCCGGCATGGTAGCGCATGCCTTAATTCCGGCTACTTGGAAGACTGAGGCGGAAGGATCGCTGGAGCCCAGCAGGTCGAGGCTGTGGTGGCTGGAAGCAGCCACTGCACTCCAGTCTGGGCGACAGAGGGAGACTCCAACTCAAAAAAATAAAAAAATAAAATATTAAAGTAAAATCAATGAATTATACTTACCCACATCACAGGTAAGGATTATTGAAGTAAAAATTAGATAAACTTCCTTGGTTCCAGTTTTCACTTTGGGCCTGGTCAGGTGATGTTAGTCTCCCTTCCCCTTTCCTCATACGGGACTCATCTAATTAAGATTTGGAAAGAGGAAGTCGGAGCTACCTAACTCAGCCGGGTTCCTTCTCACAAACCTATTGAGGCACCCACTGATGCCACAACCCCTGCAGCAGCATTCAGGAGAGCCAGCTATTGCCCCATCCAAGACCCTGAACCCTCTACTACAGTCTCAGCTCTCCTCTGGTCCATGTGGCCTTACTCTTATGATCTCTTGTTCGCTACTAGCTTCCCTGATGTCAGTTCATCATGATTCAAATCCATGAGAAGTGCAATGTGATGGACTCAGCTCATCTTTGCATAAGGCCTAGGGGTTCCCTGGGTACTGCCATAGTTATAGATTGGTAGACTTTAAGTAGATGACAGTTCCTGGGCCCATCATCCACACAAGTCCTCTCTTCTGGGAAGATGGAGGCTGTGGCAACATTTCTAAAATTTAGTTTGCCATGTGCACTCATCTCTGGGCATTTAGCATGATGGCCTACATAGAAGAATAGAAAGAATGGTGGAATTATTTCCTCCCAGCCCTGCTCTTGACCAGGCGAATGGCCTTATGCTTTCTTTTCTTGACAATTGTGTCACTGTGTTTCTGTAGTTGCTTCTAATAAAGGGCAAACTTGTTCAGCTAAAAACATGACCTTATATTTATTTTTTCTTCTCATAGTAACTAGTTTATTACCTGACAGAGGATGAATACATTTTGCAATTTATTAACTGATTGGAGAGGGTGGGAAGCCCTAAGAGCATTCCTCAGCTCTCTGAATCTTTTCCTTGGTTTTTTGAAAGCCAAGATTGTGTATGAGTGCCAGGGTACCACCTATGACCAAACATCTGAGAAAGAGAGAAGTCGACAAGGAGAAAGGAAGAGAAGTTTTCCTAGCCTGTGCCTACTCTGTCCCAGGCACACTGTTAGATGTTTTAGATGAGGCATTTCATTGAATCACCACAGGGAAAAAAGAGAGAAGGGAATTCATCCATTTAATTGGCTCAGTCATTAGGTCTGAGTTGTAATCGAGGCACTGGGAGTCAAATGGTGAATAAATCCATTTACAAAGGAGAAAATGAAGCCTTAGAGGTTTTGACTTGTCAAGTTCAGCCAGCTACTAAATTATGGAGCTGGGATTATAGATCGGGTTTTGTCTCCAAAGCATGACTATGTTTCTTATATACAGTCAGGTGTCACATAATGAACTACATACAACGTATCTAACTGTGGTCTTATACAATTATAATATATTTTTATTGTACCTTTTCTATGTTTAGTACTTACCATTGTGTTACAACTGCCTACAGTATACAGTACAGAAATATACTGTACAAAGTTCATAACCTAGGAGCAATAGGTTATACCAAATAGCCCAGGTGTGTAGTGGGCTCTACCATCTAGGTTAGAGTAAGTACATTCTATGATGTTCAAGCAATGATGAAATCACCTAATGATGCATTTCTTGGAACATAACCCTGTTGTTAAGTGACACATGAGTGTACTCTAACATATTGCTGATAACCAGTAAAGGCCTACCTTATATTCTGCCATCATATATCACTTATATTTTACTCTGCCCACCCTTTGCTGTCCTTGAGAGAATTTTTGTGACTGTAGTTGTAAGCAAACCAGGTTGCTCACTGACTTTAGACAGTGTACCTCAGGGTGGTTTTCCAAAAATGAGTGGATCCTATCAAATGGTGAAATTAATTTGCAAAACAGTCATAAAGAACCTCCCTATATCAGGCCCTATGTACCAGACACCAAAGGCAGAGGGGGGAACCAGACAAAGTCCCTGCTGCCTGGAGCATCCCAGACAGCTGTGAAGGTAGACTAAGCTACATGACTAACTGACTAAACTGACCAAAGACCATTCTGAGTGGTTGAAGATGAACAGCAGAAGCAATTATTCAAGGCAATCACTTCATCACATGTGTCTGCAACGAGAGCATCATTCTTAGTGGCTAACTGCATTGCTAAAGCTAAGAAGTCCTTTACTATTGGTGAAGAGCTAATCCTACCTGCTACTAAGGACATTTGTTGTGAACTTTTAGGAGAGGCTGCAATTCAAAAGGTGACATGTGTTCTTCTTTCAGCTAGCACCATAACTAGACAAATTGATAAAATAGCAGAAGGCATTGAGGCACAATTGTTAGAGAAGATTAATGAGTCATGATATGCAACTGAGGTTGACCAGTCTACCAACGTTGACAAAATGCAAGATGGCTTGTTTTTCTGTGGTATAATTTTCAGGAGGATGTACATGAGGATATGGTATGTACACTTTTGTTACCAACCAATACCACAGCTACAGAGCTATTCAAATTTTTGATTGATTGACAGGAAAACTGAGTTGGTCATTTTGTGTTGGTATATGCACAGACTGAGTGGCTGCCATGACTGGACGGCTTTCTGGTTTCGCTACTCAGGCCAAAGAGGTCACTTCTTAATTGGTCTATGCACTGTGTCATCTACAGAGAAATGCTGGCAAGGAGAAAAAAATGTCATCTAAACTTAACAGTGTTTTGCAGACGTGATTAAAATTATCAGCCACATTAAATTACATACTCTTAACTCACGTCTGTTCACGCAGCACTATGAGGAGCTGGATGCAGAGCACACGTCTTCTCTTATACACAGAAGTGAGATGAATTTCTAAAGGTAGATCACTGGACAGAGTTTTTGAGTTATGAAAGAGATTTCTTTTAGAAAAATAGTCACCACGGATCCCTTTGAAGATGGTGACAGAACTGGTGGGATTGTGAGTGTCTCTGCAAGGCAAATGTCCATAAAGACAGTTTGCATGCATGGGGGTGTGCAGGTGGGTGAACAAAAGTCCCTCTAAAGGGAAACTCGGCATCAAGCACCGGGGGCTCCCCTCTAGAGGCAACTGCAACCCTCAAGCCCCTGGCACACAGGATCAGCGGCCATTCTCAGGGATCTTTCAGGAGGAGGCAGCAGAGATCAGCTGTTCCTTAGAGCCTGGCACCTTGCCCACACCACCATCTGTGAATTGGGCTGGGCACTGGCAGCAAAAACCATGGAGAAGGCGTAGCAATGAAATCCAAAGCTGAACCCTGCGGCAGGTGAGGGGATGCTGACCACTGTCATTTTCTATGTCCTGGGATAGGGCAGAGAGCTGTGTTGGCCCACCCAGCTCTGCTGAGACCCAGAGCTATCTCCACACCCCTCTGGGATCGACTATTGGTGGCCCTGAGTGGAAACTTCAGGAGTGTACACAGAGAGATAGACTTCCCACTGCCACACTGGACCAGGCACAGACACATCTAATCTGAGTGGGAGATTTGGTGGCAGCATCAGCAGCAGGAG